TCTCTCTCTCTCTCTCTCTCTCGCAAAAAGAATCTTGATTGTACGTTTCTAAATGGATAATAAATTTATTACTTTCGATAACTACGATTCACCTGGCGCATACCACGGGAGGAATAAATCAGACGCCTGTCTGGCAATTAGAATTTATCGTTTCGAGGCAGACGTTTCTTTATTGTTAAATTTCTCTCCGCAAATGGAAAGATAAGTAGGCAAAGAGATTTATTAATTTATAACACGTGATGGACAGTAAAAGGTAATATTCAATTCGCATTGAATATTTTATTCCATCGACTGGTACCTATGAAAATGGAGAATGTGTCGTTATTTTGTAGTAATCGTAACGAATGATCAATGACTTGTTCCTGTTGTTTTTGATAATGAGATCCATCTAATAAATAATGAATTAAAAAAAATAATTTTTATAACAATTTCTATCGTTGAAATCATCATTCAAATTTTATAATTTTATATAAAACGCTTGGAGAATTATTCTTAAATACATTTTATGACAATGAAAATATATAGAAAAAATAATTTCTTTTTTGTTAATAAAATATTTATAAATAAAAAAATCGTAAAATTTAATTTTTCTCTAAATTACAATTCTAAATAGTACATTCTTTTATAAAAAATTGTTCGTTTTAATATTTATTAAAAAAAGAATCCACTCTTTTCTTTTTTAAAAGTTAGCCAATATCTGACTAATTTATCGAAATTATAATATTTTCTCTTTGACATTCCTCTTAACTTCTAAATTATTGCTTTTACGTGATTCTTGGTGATTAAATATCGTTTTTAATAATTAAGGAATATGTTATTTAAAAAGAAACATCGAATTAAATACACTACTTCAAAACGCTACAGATGAAGAGAATCGATCGCAGGAGGGAACAAAATTGGTAACTAGATGTGCCGTAATTCGATATTTTAATTTTCGGAAACACCTGTCCCGAGAACAAAGGATCGTTAGAGACAAAAGAGTTAAAATAGGTCCTTCTTCCTATATCTTGCATTCAACTGGTGAAAAGATGCTGAAGCATATACAACATCTCTCTACAAACTCACGCGACAAATTTTAACAAATCACTATTTTATTCGATAATTGGGATTTAGAAAATTACCATTTATTTAAAAAGAGAGCATCCAATTTTCGTGACGTTCCATCTCTCAGACTATTTTTTCGAATCTTCTTTCCAACAAAGGAAAAACTGTTAATTTAAACTGTTATATTATTATTAACAGTTTATATTATATTATTATTAACAGTTTAATTATATTATTATTATTATATTATTATAATTGTACAAGTTTTGGAGGATCGTTGTAATAAACTTCAATCCTCGATTCTTGAAAAAAATCTTTTCAAGAGAATTTAGATAACATCTCTCTACAAATTCATGTGACAAATTTTAACAGCGTATAATCAAATCACTACTTTATTCGATAATTGGAATTTAGAAAATTACAATTTATTTAAAAACCATACAATTTTCGTGACATTCCATTTCTTAAATAATTTTTTCGAATCTCTTTTCGAACAAAACAAAAAATATGTATAATTGTTTAATTATATTATTATTATTATTATTATTGTACAAGTTTTGAAGGATCGTTGTAATAAACTTCAATCCTCGAGTCTTGAAAAAAAACTTTTCAAAAGAGT